CAAATCCTCTTCTCCTATTTCCCAGACCTCTGGAGTTTCCCACCCAAGGTACGGTACCCTGAGAATCTAATCTTAGATTTGAAAGAAAGGGCAGTGGTTAGTTCCATTCGGGCTCCCCTGTATTCTGCCTTGCCTGGACCAAAGATGGATACGGGGAGAGTGATTTCCAAGACGGACACATTTCCCTTATCTCCACTCCCTGAGTCCAAGCCCAGCTGAACACTTAAATAGCTTCTCATCCTAATTCTTAAGGGATGTGAACTTCCACTGCCTCCTCCCATCCTTCCATCAGCTCAGGCTACTCGAGTGCTTTCACTGTGGATTCCCTTCCCTGTCAGCTCTGGGCAGCTCCATTCTGATCTCAGAGCTAGGAGGTAGATCCACTCTCTCCGGTATAGCAGCTCTCTCAGCTGCAGCCCTTAGTCTTTGCTTAATCTTTGCTTTACTCAGCCACCTCTTGGCTCTAAGATAGCTGCCAGGAGCTGGCCCCTGCGGGGAGGGAGAAAGCCTTACCACTCAGAGTCATCCTAGGCAGTTGGCAAACCACCAAGTGTGGGATTTCAAGAGATCTTCCCATTTCCTATCAAAAAATTCCTGTTTTACTTCACAGATGTATATCTCTCTGAAAATGCAGATTCTCCAGGGAAGGAGAACACTTTATTCGGTCATCAAGCACACGTCGTGTGAATACTCACTGCTGAGTAGTAATGCATTGAATGGGTGTATCACAATTTGCTTATCCATTTCCCAGTTGAGGGAGTTTTAAGGTGTTTCCAGTTTTGACAATTACAAATAAAGTCCTCATGAAAGCATTCGTGTAAAATGTTTTGTGTGGACATAGGTTTTCATTTCGCTTCTGACCACTTTTCATTGTTTTAAATGCTTCCATTGAATGCTTCCAAGCCACCATCATCTCTCCCAGTAGCCTCTACAGTTCTTCTTGCTTGCCCTCTTGCCTCCCTACAACTCATTCTCTGCAGAACAGCCTGACTCAAATTTGGAAAATTTCACTCAGCTGTATCTCACTTCAGTTATAATAAGCTCTTTAATGCATCCAATTACACTTAGAATAAAATCTGACCTCTATAGGCTTCCTAGCTCACAAAGTACTCAGGCCTAGTCCCATCATTCATCTCTGAACACATCCTCTACTTCTATCCTCCTCTATGCTCCAGCCCAGGGACAGACCCAGGTATGGGGGGACCTGAAGCTTATATAAGCTGTGGGCAATGGGAGAGCAGATTAGAAAAATAAGATAAAATGAAAAATCAACACAGAGCTTTGGAGACATCTATGAGGGTCCCTGAAAGCTTACGCTTTATTAGCTTTAGGGTCAACTCCCTCCTCTTCCATATTCTCCTTACTGCTTTTTTTAAAATTGAAATATATTTGAAATATAACATTGTATAAGTTTAAGGTATTAGATTCCCCTTACTTCTTTCCGTCCCTTTACTCTAGCTGTTCACTTTGCTTGGAATGCTCTTACTCTGAATTTGTATCCGGCCATTTCTTTGACTTTTGGATTTCAGCTTAAATGTCACTTCCCCAGAGATGCCTCCTCTAAGCACCCAATTTAAGAATCTACCTAGTCATTATGCTAAGTGAAATAAGTCAAGCAGAGAAAGTCAATTATCATATGGTTTCACTTATTTGTGGAACATAAAGAATAGCATGGAGGACATTAGGAGATGGAAGGGAAAAAGGAAGGTGGGGGAAATCGGAGGGGGAGACGAACCATGAGAGACTATGGACTCTGAGAAACAAACCTGAGGGTTTTAGAGGGGACGGGGGGGTGGGCGGACGGGTTAGCCTGGTGATGGGTATTAAGGAGGGAGGGCACGTACTGCATGGAGTATGACATGGAGTATGACACTGGGTGTCATACGAAAACCATGAATCGTGGATCACTACATCAAAAAACTAATGATGTATTGTATGGTGACTAACATAACATAATAAAATTAAATTAGGGCGCCTGGGTGGCTCAGTTGGTTAAGCGACTGCCTTCGGCTCAGGTCATGATCCTGGAGTCCTGGGATCGAGTCCCACATCAGGCTCCCTGCTCAGCAGGGAGTCTGCTTCTCCCTCTGACCCTCCTCCCTCTCATGCTCTCTGTCTCTCATTCTCTCTCTCACAAATAAATAAAATCTTAAAAAAAAAAAAAATTAAATTAAATTAAATTTTAAAAAATAAAAAAATCTACCCATTTGAAATAACATCACTCTGTTTTAATGCTTGGCACTGCACTTGGTCCTATTTGATTCTTTCTTATTCATTTATGTATCTCCTACCTGTCTTCCCAAAGGAGAATGTCATTCCATGGGGGGCAGGGACTTGTCTGTATTGTTCATTGTTGTTTAGGCAATGACTTGAACTGTGCCAGGCACATAGAAGGTGCTCAGGAAAAGGGCGCCTGGGTGGCTCAGTTGGTTAAGCGACTGCCTTCGGCTCAGGTCATGATCCTGGAGTCCCGGGATCGAGTCCCGCATCGGGCTCCCTGCTCGGCAGGAAGTCTGCTTCTCCTTCTGACCCTCCCCACTCTCATGCTCTCTCTATCTCATTCTCTCTCTCAAATAAATGAATAAAAATCTTAAAAAAAAAAAAAAAAAAGAAGGTGCTCAGGAATGAACAGAGACTCCACCCTCAAGGTGTCCACCATCCTGTGATGAAATCAGACAACCCATAAACACCTGCAATGCAAGATAGAAGGGCACTGACATGATAAGGGGGGTACAGATGAAATCAGAGGACAGAAAATATCTCTTCTGATGGGGGAGTTAGGGATTGCTGACCAGAGGTGGAGTTCTTCGATCTGGGCTTTGAGGTATAGCTGTGAGTGAACATGTGAAATGTTAAAGAAAAAATTATGCAATGACAATTGTTTAAAGCATGGTAAGGCAGATTTCATTCCGGACCATTATAAGAGAAATGGGGACCACTGCAGTGGGTATTTGCCTGGGGGGAGAGATTGGACTCAACTTTGAAAACAGCGTAGGCAAGGGAGAATTTATAGCCAAGGAGCAGGGTGGAGATCACTGGATGGAAAATCACTAATGGAAACATTAAATGTAAGGGGGCTTCTGGTTAAACAGATCTAACAGGATTCTTGCTGAAGACTGGCTACAGTGCTCAGACATCACCTGGAGGATGGGGAAGGATGAGGAACCTGACTGGATATTGAGAGTGATCAGATATAGAGGATGAGGATTCTTGCTAAACTGACGTAGTAGGGCTCTTGCGAAAACTGGATTTTACAAGCACATGTACAGATGGGCCTAGGAGAAGGATCAGGAACCTGACTAAAGTTTGGTCAAGCAAAAAATCTTAGTCGGAAAATAGAGCCATGATGGGGCATTTCAAATAGGAAACAGAATGAGGTAAGTAGAGGGTGTGTATAGGAAATGGAAACTATGAGTTTATTAGTTATTTAATGTTATGTAACAGACAACCCCAAAACTCAGAGGTTTAAAACAACAAATATTTATTCTTTCTCACAATTCTATGCATTGACTGGGCTTTAATGTGGCTACACTCAGCTCTTAGCTGGGTTGGAAGATCCAAGATGGCTTCACCCATAGGTCTGGAGCCTGGGGGCTGGCTATATTTTGAGGCTGCTCTATTTTCTTCCACATAGGAAAGGAAACTCTGCTGTGAGGAAAACTCTTCCTCCTCCAACTCCAACCAGTGATTGAAGACTTGTAAATTAACCGCCACTATACAGATTAATAGGAGAAAAGATAAGGGTTTTTTAATATATGCACAGGAGCTTCCAGAAATAAGGTTTTATATATATCAACTTAACAAAAGTGGAGTTATAAGGGCTTCAGTGAAAAATGTGGAAGTTTCTATTAGGCTGTTTGATGCTGATGGAAATGATCAGTCTGTCCCATGGCAGCTAAACTCACAAGAAATTCCCTTGGAGGAGGAACTAATGGTGTTTTCAGGAAGTTAAGATAAGTCAGATAAGGGAAATTCAGATGGGGATTTCTTTCTGTATCTTCTATAGCTCAAATTTTTCACTTTCTCAACTCTGGGGAATCCCAATGGGTCCCCCCACCCCGACCTCTCACCCTCTGGAAGGCTCGATTGGCTTCCTATAAGGAGAGTTGCTCTCAATTCCTCTAGGAACTGGGTTATAATTTAAATGACATCATAGTTTCATCTACCCATACATTCTTTTACAAGGGCTTTTTCCTCTGGGTACATTTAGCTTAGGGGAGGAGATCTAAAAAAATTCCTATCAGGCTCTGAATATCAGCTTCCAATTGGCCAAATTTCTGATCATGGAGTTATTAAATCCTTTCAAATATCTTGTCAGGTTTCAAGCAGGACAAACAGTAAATATTTCTGGCAGTATTGAACAAATCAGAAGACTGTATCAAACATATTTCTAAAAAGCTCAAAAATAATCAAATCTTTACACATATATAATTTAGGTATATTTAGTTATTTGATGAAATAAATAGTTTTATAAAAAAGCAAGGGAAGACAGGATTCTAAGGAGAAGCTGAGTAGGAAGCACTGGGAATCTCACCTGGACTACAGTTGCATTTTGAAACTCTGCAGTTTATTGAAGACTTGCTGTAAGTTGTGGTTCATTTCAGTCAACTTTTGCTATTATCACAGTAACAGCTACCCATCCCCCCCACCAGCCATGTGGCAGGCAGATGTGCACAAATTATGCAAGTCAGGGTGGATAATAGACACCCTATCCTCCAAATATGTGGAACCCATGCTCTGACTGCTGATTGAGACTTTTAATCATAGAGGTGCAGACAAAGAGATGGGTACTCATCGTTGTAGCTCCCACCCAATATTGCAAGCCCCTACCTCTCTAGCTGAAGTGACTTTCGGGGGATTTAAAATGCCAGAACTCTCCCCACCCCTTCATTTTCCTCTTTTTCCCCTTTTGGGAGCCAGACATTAAGGACTAGTGTCAACGTCTAGTGCGTTGGGGTCCCTGGGTAAGGGTCTACGAAATCACCAGGACACAGGGGATGCAGAGCAAAGGCAGCACTTGCAACTGCATACTGCCGTTTATTTCTCACGTAGCTATATACTCGCAGAGATCAGATAAACATAACAATGTATCAAGCCAACATCTGTGAAGTGAAATATACACGAAATGCAATAAGAACAAAATACATCCTGTTTATGCTTGCAGAATAAAGAATTCTCTTAGCCATCCTTCCTTTGGAGACAACATGTTCTTTGTCTTTAGAAAGAACACTTCTGATTAGAAAGATACACTTTAAGCGAGGCAAGAGCCACTTCCTGCTGATCCAGGCATTTAGGCCTTGCAACATGAGGTAAGGGGAAGAGAACGTTTTCTCCTCCTGGCCTAGGCCTGCCTGGCCGACCTTAACCTCACTGCAGTCCTCAAATGACCCTGGCCTGGCAAGGGGTCTACAAGCCTACACCATCTCAATTCCCTCTTTTTCTTTTGTTTTAATAAAAGTGCCCTCCAAAGGATGGCCATAGAATTCTGGGAAGGCTTTAGATAGCAAAAATGCAATAGCATAAAGCATAAGATAACAATCAACAATACAAATCCCATTCCTCCAGCAGTATGCCCCAAACTTTGAATAATACCTTTTGGATCTAGTCCCTTAAGTTGCTTAAGAAGTAAATTGGCCAACGTAGCGGCATCTTCAGTCTCAAATGGTCTGCCAAATACCTCCTGAATGTTCGTGTGTAGGTCATTGATCATGTTAGTAGCTGAGGAATTACCTTCTAAATAACTTTGGATGATGCTCCACTCGTGCTGCGACTCATTGTATTTTAAATTGGTAACACAAAAAGTTGTGGAATTCCAATCGCAATGCAGCCAAACTTGCCTTTCTAGTGTCAAAACCTTTTTCCCTAACCAGCTCACCGTCTGTCTGAGGATATCTATTTGTGTTTGTAAGCGAGTATCGATCATGGTTTGTGAAAGCCAAAGATCCCGAGAGTTATGGTGCCAGTCTTCCACAAAATGCTTAGTTTGCAAAGATGTATGTAAAGCTATGCCTGAAACGGTAGCTATAGTGGTGACTGTGATTAAACTTAAAATGACTGCCACAACAATACCGAGAAAACGTTTGGTGCGCTTTAGTACCCTTTTAAAAAACTCCAATACTAAGACATCTACAGGATTTTGAGCCCATGGTCGTTCTAGATCTACCGGAAGCCAAATATGAGAACGTTGTTGTAAAATCATAAGAGAATATTCGGAGTCAAATTCTATAGAGCTATTAATGCAAGAATATAGTCGACAATTGGTACAGTTAATACCGTTATCAAAGCTAAAATTCCCTATCAGAAATAGATATGGTAAAGGTACGCATGCAGTTACATTTATCTCTTTAAATGAGGTGAATTTATAAGTCGATGCAGAATTCACGGTGCCAGAAAAGGTTCCCTCGTAAAATCTAACAGTCTTAAGCGCAGCTGCAATCTTCCATAAGTGCGTTTGGATATGGTCAGGAAATTTCTGATGTGCTATACGAGGGTCTGCGATGCCGCCATCTCCCCAGGCCATCAACTGATGATTCACCATTGATTCATTCCATTTGTTCCGTGGTGGCATCCTGTAGGATAAGGACAAATCACAACATGTCTTATTCCATTCGGAACAATTCCGAAGAAATTGACCATATGGTCCCCACATAAGTAAATTCTTATAAAATTTCATGAATTTTCCAATACATTCCTGCCACACAAATGGTTTATAGGCCAGTCCGATATAAGTGAAATCAGGACAGGCAGGAAATGAGGGGAATTCAGCAAATGTAACATTTCCCCATGTCATGTTAAGAGACCATGCTTCAACTCTTTGTAAATGAGTTCGGGATCCATTAGACTTATTCCCCGGCAGGATCCAGTTCTGCCAATCCATCTCGGCACACGGGGATGGGCCCAGACAAATGTAAGGACCATCCCCTTTGTATGAAAAATTAAATGAGGTGCCATCATCCTGATTAAGATAAGTAAGATTCTTCCAAGGAGGCGAAAGTATCACAGGGGAGGTATAGACAGGAATATCTGCACTTCCCCAAGGTGCAGGTTCCATCATAGGTGGATTAGGTATATAGGCCCAATAGCTTACATTTGTCGCCTCAGCAGAGGATAATACAGTAAGCAAGGCACACATAGCCAAAAATAAATTTTCAGGCGTACAAGCCTTCCCTGTTCGCTGCAGGATTTTTTGCCCTTCCCCACTAAGCTTTTTAATTTGTCCCCAAGTCGGCAAAGCAGTAGCAAATATCTGCCGACGGCGACGTCGTCCTCCCAAATTCAGATGTGCTATGGCCTGTAACGGAAGTTCATCTTGGTCTGGATTCCCCATCCGTCGTCTGGTGGGATACGGTGCCGTTCGAATTGGTCCTTGACCGGATCCATCGCGTAGGGAGCCAGGAACAGGTCCATCCATCCTCTGTGGAGACATAAGCATAACCCTTCCCTCTATAAAGCAATAGCCCCGGTTGCCATTCTGCATCTGCAGTTGGTCTAAACCATATATGTTCATTTAATGGAGGGGGAGCGACCTCTCCCTCTATGAACTGTTTTTCTGCTCGGGACAGGATATCTCCCTGCGGAAGGTTCAAGAAATTTAATGTGAACAGAGCTTGTTGCAAAATGGAACATGCATTTGATTGAGTGAATGCTAAGATATGATCCTTTTTCCTCCTTTTTAATTTTTTAATTTGCAACTTTAAAGTACTATGCGCACGTTCTACAATAGCTTGCCCTTGAGGATTATACTCAATGCCTGTTTTGTGCATTATACCATATTGTTTACAGAAAGTTTGAAATTTTTTACTGCTATATGCAGGTCCATTATCTGTTTTAATAATAGATGGTAAACCCATCACAGCAAAAGTTTCTAAGAGATGGGTGATAACATGTTGTGCAGTTTCGCCACTTTGTGCTGTGGCCCATATAAATTGAGAATATGTATCTATTACCACATGTACATACATACAAAGTTCAGAAAACCACATCTGCCACTGCAGATACTCAGGCTCCTTTAAAAGAGCCCGACAGAGGACCCTCCAGTCCTCAGGAGAAAAATTATTATAATGTCGAGCCAGACCGTTAACTAGCTCCTTAACATAATGTGATTGAGGTCCATATAAAGACACTGCCTTTTTCAAGCGACCAATATCTTCTATACCTATTCCGTCATAATATGGTGCTTGTGCCACCCCCTGGACTGGGGGAGGCCTGATAGCAGGAAAAGCAAAGACAGAATTACCTGCGCCAGCCTCATCATCGCTATCCTCTAGCGCATCAAGCTCAGCTAAAGCAGCAGAAAGGAAAGGATTTTTAGAAGAAAGAGCTGGTACAGACGGCAAAGGCGGAGCAGAGGGCTTCCTAGAGGGTTTCTTAGACTCCTCCGTCATAGCCATAACCTGCTGAAAAACCTTCCACACACGCTCCACCTCGGGATCCGATTTTACTTTCGGTTTTGGTTCTTCATTACCACACTCGCTAGGCTCACGGGATGGAGCAAGCTTAAAGGTATCTTTCTCTACCGCCCTTTTCTCATCCGTATCTAGAGGGAGGTCTTGTATAGAAGGAGCCATCTCCTTATGGAAGTCTTCGACCGTGCGGTCGTCCTCCATTGCTTTAAGCACTGTAAAAATAATCGACCAAATAGACCAAAACCGAACGGGAATTTTTTCTCCCTGTCTCATTGCCTTCTCGACATTATGTCGAACTCGCCGCCAATTATCTAAATCTAAAGTTCCCTCCTCTGGAAACCAAGGATTCCATTCTCGAACCACCTTCAAGCACAGCTCAATATCATTAGAAGCGACAGTGATACCATAGACAGCAAGTGAATGCTTCAGCATTCGAACATAAGGAGTAGAAGTTTCTTGTCCCATCACCCTGTACTTAATTAAGTTACTCACCCTTCCTGAACGTCCTTCAGGGTCCCTGTTCGGGCGCCAATTGTCAACGTCTAGTGCGTTGGGGTCCCTGGGTAAGGGTCTACGAAATCACCAGGACACAGGGGATGCAGAGCAAAGGCAGCACTTGCAACTGCATCCCCTGTGTCCTGGTGATTTCGTAGACCCTTACCCAGGGACCCCAACGCACTAGACGTTGACAGACTAGGACATTCAGGGTTCCTGGGCAGTACAATTGCCTCAGTGTCTGACTCTTGGTTTCTGCTCAGGTCATGATTTCAGGGTCATGAGACGGAGTTCCCTGTCGGGCTCTGTACTCAGCACAGAAGTCTGCTTAAATTCCTCTCTCCCTCTCTCTCTGCCCCTCCCCAACCCCATGCACTCTCCCTCTTCTCAAATAAATAAATAAACCTTAAAAAATTAAAACTAGGACATGCAGAAACAACTGCATATATAGGGGGAAATTAGAAAGTGACTATGCATGCCCAGGGAAAGTCTCAGGAAAGACCTCTGAGAAGACTTTGAATTTACACCTCATGTTAATCCTTGGCACAAAACATCCTACACCAAGCCAAATAATAATGATAATAATAAATAACAACCCTGATGAAAGGGAAGAATCTGATTTCCAGAGTTATCACATTATTAAAATGTCCAGTTTTCAACAAAAAAATCAAAAGTCATAAAAAGAAACAGGAAAGTATGACCCACTCAAAGGAAAAAATGATAGAAACTGTCCCTGAGAAAGAACTGATGGCAGATATGTATGCTAGGCAAAACAATTATCTTGGGGTGCCTGGATGGCTCAGTCAGTTAAACATCTGACTCTTGATTTCAGCTCAGGTCATGATCTCAGGGTTGTGAGATTAAGCCCTATGCTGGGTTCCACGCTCAGCAGGGAGTCTGCTTGAGCTTCTCTTCTCCCTCTCCCTCACCCCTCCCTCAGCTCATGCTCTCTCTCTCTCAAATAAATAAATAAATCTTAAAAAAAAAATAAAACAATTGTCTCAGAGAACTAAATAAAGATGTGGAGAAAGTCAAGACAATGATGTCTGAGCAAAATGGAATAGCAATAAAGAGATAGACACCCTAAGAAGAAACCAAAAAGAAATCCTGGAGCTTAAAAGTATAACTGAAAGGGGGCACCTGGCTGGCTCAGTTGGGGGAGTGTGCAACTCTTGATCTTGGGGTTGTGAATTTGAGCCCCACATTGGATGTGGAGATTACTTAAAAATAAAGTCTTAAAAAAAAAAAGCATAACTGAAATGAAACATTCACTAGGGAGATTCAAAGGCAGATTTTAGCAGGCAGAAGAAAGGACTGTGAACTTGAAGATAGGATAATGGAAAGCATGGAGTCTGAAGAGCAGAAAGAAAAAAGATGGAAGAAAAGTGAACAGAGCTTAAGAGACTTGTGGGACACACCAAGTGGATCACATTTGTATTGTGGGAGTCCCAGAAGGAGAATAGAAAGTGGCTGAGAGACTATATGAAGAAATAATGGCAGAAGACTTTCCAAATTTAATTAAAGACATGAATACGTCCAAAAGGTTCAGTGAACTCCAACCAACTCCAAGTTCAGTGAACTTGGAGACCCACACTGAGACATAATCAAACTTTCGAAGACAAAGACAAAGAAGGAATCTTGAAAGCAGCAAGGAACAAATTATCATGTACAAGAGATCTTTTTTTTTAACTTTTTAAAAAAGATTTTATTTATTTATTTGACAGAGGGAGATCACAGAGGGAGAGTGAGAGGGAGAAGCAGACTTCCTGTTGAGCAGACAGCCCGATGCGGGCCTCAATCCCAGGACCCTGAGATCACGACCTGAGCCAAAGGCAGCTGCTTAAGCGATTGAGCCACCCAGGCTTCCCTGTACAAGAGATCCTTAATAGAGCAGCTTTCTAATCAAAAACTGTCAACCAGGAATCCTATATCTGGCAAAACTGTCCTTCAAAAGTGAGGGAGAAATTAAGACATTCCCAAATAGGGGTGCCTGGGTGGCTCAGTCAGTTGCCCCTCCCCTGCTCTCTAAATAAATAAAATATTTAAAAAAAAAGACATTCCCAGATAAAGAAAAGCTGAAGAAGTTCATTACCACTAAAGCTGCCTTCAAGAAATGCTAAAGAAATGCTGTAAGGTAAAATGAAAGGACACTAGACAGTAACTTGAAGCTATATGGAGAAATAAAGATTTCAATAAAGGTATATTGCCCATAAGCAATTACAAAAGCTAGTTTTATTGTAACACTGGTTTATAACTACACTTTTTGTTTCTACATGATTTAAGAGACTACAAAAAAAACCAAACAATTATTAGTGTAAAAGTTGGTATTGTTGTAACTTTGGTTTGTAACTCCAAATCTTGTTTTCTATATAATTTGACAGGCTAATGCATTAAACAGTATTAGTTTAGGTTTTGGTCTTTAGTATTAGTTTAGGTCTTTGTATAAAGATATAATTTGGGGACACCAACAACTAAAAGGAGTAGGGATTTAGCTATTATAAAAAGGCAGACTTTTTATGTTATTGAAATTAATCTGGCAATAATTCAAATTAGAGTGTCATTAACTTTAGGGTGTTCCATGTAATCCCCATGGCAGCCACAAAAAAAAAAAAAAAGCTATAGAATATATATGAAAGGAAATGAGAAAGAAATTTAAACATTCACTAGAAAAAAATTAACTTGGGGCACGTTGGTGGCTCAGTTGGTTGAATGTCTAACTCTTGATTTTGGCTCAGGTCATGATCTCAGAGTCATGAGATTGACCCCTGAGGCGGGCTCCACACTCAGTGGATTCTCTCCCTCAACCCCTCCCCCAGCTCATGCATGCACTCCCTCTCTCTCTCAAAATAAATAAACAAACAAACAAATAAATATTTTTTAAAAATCAATTAAACACAGAAGACAGTAACGCAGGAAATGAGGGACAAACAAAGATATAAGGCATATAGAAAACAAAGAGCACAATGATAAAAGTCCCTCCTTATCAGTGATTACTTTAAATATAAATATATTAAATTTTCCAATCAAAGACCTAGACTGGCAGAATGGAGAAAAACACATGTCTATATGCTACCTACCAAGAGAATCAAGAGCCAAAGACACAAGTAGATGGAAATTGAAAGAATGGAAAGAGATAGTCCATGAAAATAGTATCCAAAGAGATCAGGAATGGCCATAGAATATCATACAAAATAGACTTTATTATTATTATTTTTAAAGATTTTATTTATTTATTTGACAGAGAGAGAGATTGTGAGAGAGGGAACACAAGCAAGGGGAGTGGGAGAGGGAGAAGCAGGCTTCCCGCGGTGCAGGCAC